CTGGAATCACCTTTTTTTATTATTTAAAGCTTTTTCTTAGGACCTCTCAAGAACACATTCACGAAAAACTTAGGAAGATGGTGAATAAGGCCCATCGTTCTTAACTTTTAATGTAAGTTAGATCACTAGATTTTACTCCACATATAATACCCTTTGTTCCACAGTCCACACAGTTTATATATGGAAACTAAGCTGCAAAAACAAACCATAACTTTTACATATATCTACCTATTCAGCCTGCAGCAGTTTAGCCCCACACATTTATAAAGAGTCTTTCAGCCTGGACTGCTTTTGGGACGAGGTGCTACACGGCAGCCGATGAGAACAGCTCTTGTTCACAGATGCCGGTCTTGAAGGCACAGTAACAAAAAATCCTGTTTAATTCTAAGGGATAAAAAGAGGCTTTTTTTTGGCATATAAAGCCACTCAGATGTCATTAGTGGACCGCTGGGGATAAAATAAAATACAAGAATCATGTAGGACATGGGCCTTTACACAAGAGTACTGTTTAGAACAAGATGTGTGATGCAAAAGATTTCCAAATAACAAAAATGATTAATATGACATTCTGAACGGTAGTGTATGAGGCTGCAGATGCACTGAGGTTATTGTCCAACACCCCCACACAAGCAACACAGTAATCTCCCAATCTGCTGAGGGCTGGAATCAGCACCTGCATCTGTCAAAGAGCACAGGAGGGTAGAGGCCATACTCCCAAGGTGCCAACACACAGGCTGTCAGATTCTGCCTCGCTCTCTCTCACATACACAAACACAAAAACACCTCAGCATTCCGTGACCTGCCACAGCATGCATGTGAGGAAAGAGAGGTGACACATTGATACTGGCAGCTCGTACCAAGCCTACGGCCACCAGGTCCACACCACTGCCCGCCGTAGCACACATGAAATCACACAAAAAGCATCCATCGTTCAACATTCATTATCACATCCCAACACAACCCCTTTCTTGTATTCGGTCACTACTCCTCGTCCCTTCACCTACCCACAACACACACGCCAAGGACCCCACACCCCTCGGCTATCATATCTCCCTGTTCTCCTTCACACGCGGCTGGTGTGGATGAAGGACGTGGGGGCTGGAACGGGAGTGGGATAATGATGCAGCTGTTCTGCATGCTGCAAATGGACGCCTGCTCCAGTAGCTGCAGCTCCGGGCCTGTGCACACCGGCCAGAATTTTTGCCTAACAATGATAATTTGTTGAATAGGGTCAGGCTTATGTGACAGTAATGAAGATTGATAGCTTCTGTGTGCACCTGCTGGTGCTATTGGGGAGCGTATAAATGTACACACTGCAGGCTGCATGTGCACAGGTACAGAACTGCCTACTCGCACTCAAACACACACACACACATACACATACGAATGCATGAGCACATCTAAGAGAATGTCCTCCAGTAGCCTTGGAAACAGTGAGTGGTGCACAAACCTAAAACACCGCAACTTAAGAGAGGAATGAAGGGTCGAGCCTCTGTCACGCTTTGATGTGGCTGTTGCTCTGAAATGCATCAAACAAGAGTGGAGGAGGGAAAAGACGTACGCACACATGCATGTTTGTTTTTATACAATGCCAGGACATAAGGTCATTGTCACTGTCGTAACATAACCTTGTACTGCCGAAATGGAAACTACATACACAAATCCTTATTACATTTTATATGTAATAAGGATTTTCTAAGCCTCACCCAAAACCTAACCGTAACCTAACCTTTGTAACAAATAGAAATGATTTTGCTCTTTCAGTTTTAAATGAATAAAACATGTAACTTTCGTTAAAAAGTACTTTACAAAGTCGGACAATTTTGTTGGTCCTGACATTGTAGGTTATCCATCTTTTTCTATGGTTTCTTCAACAAGAACCATACATCTTTCTACATTTTGTCCTCAATATGTACAAAAACAAAAACACACACAAACACATTTTGAGACACAGCTGTGAGAGCAGAGTTGGAGTCTACCCAAAAATAATTTGCTGCATTTACTGGCATGATCATCTCTTACCCAGAGCTTCGATATGCTGCTTAATGTACACACAATGTCTGGGTTCAGTAAAGTTCATGTGAGGACAGCATCTGCTCTTGTTTTTTGGAGATCACTGAGAGAACCAGAGTGTTAGGGCCAGGGATGCCCATGAGACCTTGTGCGAGCTTAAGGGGCTAAGGCCACACACATATACATACACGCAGCAAGCGTCACAAAAGTGTGACCAGCTTGCTCTGCAAAGGCTGGTTGGAGCCCATGAAGTGCCAAGTGGGCCAGGCTGAGGGATTGTGTGTGACATGCACGGCTGTCCAGCACTAAAGCTCCTCCACTGTTGGGGCTGCAGATAACTGTGTATGTGTGTGTGTTCATGTGAGTTATCCAGGCTTGGAGCTGTGCAAATCCACCAACTCGGGCGGCTTTCACACACACATACACACACCTGGTGACGTGGGGCCCAATAACCAGGTTTGGCAGGTGTCAACAGGATTGTGGGCTTATCTGCAGAATCTTCAGTCCCTCAGAGTGTTGCTTGTGTGTGTGTGTGTGTGTGCGTGTGCAAGCCCACAGCCTGTTTATCAGGCTATTTGTCTGTCTGAATCGGTAATGAGCAAAGGAGATGTAACAGATCCTATTGGAGCTTTTTCCACTTATTTATCCAGCATCCATCTGAATATTTACTCTAATTGAAGCATACGATGCGAGCTGGCGCATAAGGGAGGGATCAGGAGGAGGGAGGGAGCAAGTGAGGATGGAGAGATAGAGAACTAAGCAGGGATGAAAGTGTGAGGCCCAGCGGGGAATGACGTCTCTTCATCGGCCTCTCTATCTACTGCCTCCTCCGCGTGGCGCAGCATGCACACAACAGTCGGAGCAGTCAATCAGCGGCTCTAACTCCTGCAGACACGCCACTGAAAAGCAACAGTTTCAAACACAGCCAAAGCAACTTTTTACAGAGAGTAATACAAACAGACACACGAAGACGAAGCTAAACAATCAGCTGGCAAATGCCGTCAAGAACATTTTGTGTACTAAGAGCGATGCAGGAGTTGTAATCCTACAATGAGAAGGAGCAGGAAAGAAAGAGAAGGCATGAGTTTAGAATGCGGCAGCCTCCCAAGCCAGGTTTTTGATTACTACTACAGAGTCTGGTGAGCTCTGTCTGTCAACGTGGAACAACGTACTTTGACAAGAAAGGGCCATTTTACTGCAAACTAACCAACCACAGACTGTTGTTTTAAGGTGATGCATAAGGGCAGGATTCTCAACATGGGCTGACAACAAAAACTGACCCGCACGCAAGGAGTATGCATCAGCAAACATGCGAGGAAATCTCATTTACTTCCTACTAAATGTTTCAAAGACAAATCTTGAATAACTTTCAAAATACGTGGTGCACGAATATCACAAACTTTTTTCAGCCATAAAGATAGCAAAAGTCAGGCTGATAAAAAAAACAATTTGTTCACGTCAGCGCTGAAAACTTGTAAGAATGGAGCTGACAAAATCTTAGTATTTGTGACCAGATTATTCAATTCAAAGTAAGAATGCATGGAAATAAAGAAGGGTTTATAACAAAATGGTAACAGTGAAAAACTGTCCTATGTCTTGGGAGAGAAGAACAACCTGCTTTGTGGCAGCTCTGTGGCATGCTTTGTGGTATGTAGTCAGAAGTGAGAAGACAGAACATCAGCTTATTAAAAAAAAAGTTCCCTCCAGACTTTTCTTTCATTAATCGAATGATCTTGTAAGTTCATTTCCCTTCACTCTCCGAAATAAAGGTACTAAACTGTCACTGGGGCAGTACCCCTCTTGTCACTGGGGTGGTACCCTCAAGGGTACATCTTAGTACTTTTAGTCAAGGAACATAACCGTCCCATAATCCATTGAAATTATATTTTCTAAGTTGTACTGACTCCACACACACCGTCTCGTCTCCAAGCTTAATATTTTATTGTTTTAAAACGTTTTAAAACGTTAGGTTGTGAAAAAGGTACAAATACATACTTTTCATCTGGGAAGAACGTATTTAAAGTACACTATTTGGACCTTAAAACCACTGTTGTCCCTTTGAGGCTTCATTGTTTGTACCCTGATGAACGAAAAATATACCTCCACAGTATAAACACAAACACTATTTATACTGCTATTTTGCTTCCTTCTCTCTCCTATTTGAGTTCAGTTTAATTGCTTTGGCAGTAATGTAACTTGTATCAAGCCACATGCCAGAAGAGCACTGTTGAACTGAACTGTGTGTGTGTGTGTGACTGTGTGTGAGAGAGAGAGACAGACATAGAAAGAGAGAGAGAGAGAGCTGAGAGTAAACACATTACACACTGAGTGTACGCCTGTTGGCCTGTGAGCTGAGAAAAGCTTCCACTCTGAGCAGTTCAGCTGTGTGTTAGAAGCGTCCAGCACAGGCGGACAGTCACCCAGCACCGAGCTCATCTCACACAGGCTGCTCTCTGTGAGCTCCGAGCCTGAAGTGGAGCTAATGGGCTAGCTGCAAAACTGTGGAAAGCAAAAGCAAAAGCAAACTGCAAGAGTGGACATAAAATATAAAGCACAGCTCGCTGCTCTCAGCTACACATGAGCCGAGCGCTGCTGTGAGATGGACCGCTGTGCTAAAGGAGCAGTTAGCGCACATAGACGCTGCTGAAGCCTTTTTGGTGCTATTTACGAGCTTTTTCCTTTAGCAGATACAGCCTAAGCCAATGTCAGTGGTAAAAACACAGCGGCAATGCAGACTCAGTCAGGTATCGGCGATATGCCTACAGGAAGACCCACTAAAACGACCCACAACAAGGATGCTGACACCAAGAGGCAGAGCCAGAGTCATATTTAAGCTTTTAATAGTCTAAATGTTTATACGTCTGTGTGTACACGGGTCGTTTGTTGTGACCTCAGTACGAGCACAAATGTGACCCGTTCTCTCAGGCACTGAGTGTCATTGGTACAGCGAGCCTATACGGAAAAAAGAGACGTGAAAACATTCTTACCTGTACCGGACACCGTAGTTTTCACAGCGCGTTCATTTCCCTCAGGAAACTTTTCTCTCTGTCGGGTATCGCCTTTCCAACGCCGAATCGATCGACAGCTACTTCTTATTTTTTTACCTCAGAAAATTCGAGTGGCGCGAACCAGCGACTCAGTGGAATACGAAGCGCGCGTTGGTGAGGCGGTGAGGCGACGGGACGCGTCCATGCGGGGTTTCCCCCTCCAGTGCTCGACCTGGCGGGTGGAGGTAAAGAAGCCCCCGGGTAAAGGAGTGAGAGTGAAGCAGTGAAGCAGCTCCCGCGTCCGCAGCGCGCAGCCTCTGAGGGGGCAGCTGTGCGCGAGCGCGGCTAAAGCGTGACGGAGCGCGGACGCTACCATTCAGCGAGGAGCACTCACACACAGCCAGAGTCTGTTCACTCATTCAGCTTCAGCACTGCGCAGCAGCTTCTGCACACACTGCTCTAACGTGTGTGTGTGTGTCAAGTATTTAGCTCTTTGTGGGGACCAGAAGTCCCCAGGTTGATGGAAAGAAGGACCACAAGCGTATGCGAACATGCACGTGCGTGCTGCCGCGTGTTTAGCACTGTATGGGGACGAAACATCCCTAAGAATTTACTACTAGGTTTTTTACGGAAAATGTCGTATTTTAAAATACAGCTTTTTAAAGAGTTTTTTTTTTCAGTAACTGTAGGGCTTAAGTGTTCACTAGCATCATTAAGCTTTAGGAGATCCCCACAAAGATAGGAAAACAAACTTTTAAGTCTGTGTTTTCACATTTTAGGTCTCTCAGGTTGATGAAAAGTAGGCACAGTGTTCACACTGTGTCTGCAAGAGTCTGCAAACATGCACACGTGTGTGTGTTGCCGCGTCTTAAACACTATTTGGAGACAAAACATCTCTGGGAATTCATCATTGTGGTCTTTTTAAGAAAAATTTCATTTAAAAAGGCAGCTTTTTAAAGAGTTTCTAGTTCTTGAGGTACCTGTCGGGGTTAAATGTAGAACAGCATTATTTAGCTACAGGAAAACCCCACAAAGATAGGAATACAAACTTTTACATCCGCGTTTTCTATGTTTTTAGAACGTTCAGTGTAATGAAAAGCAGGAACATGTTCACGTTGTGGGGACATTGGACCAGTCTCCATAACCAATAGTGCTTTATTATTATTTTAAAAAGGCCCAAATGATTTCCTAGCACCTGGGAGTTAGGATTAGGATTAAGTGCAACTGTTTGTTTAGCTAGAGGAATTTATTTATTCAGCTAGAGGAATAAAGAAGTCAGCGAGACCCCTCATAGACTAGCATGCAAACTTGTGTGTGTGGCCATGTGTTTAGCTCAGGACCTGATGTCCACATAGTCATGGAAAGATCTTCATATGGCGACATACATGTGTGTATGTGTTTCCATGTATTTATGACTTTAAGGGGAACAGATTTCCCCAGATAATGGAAAGCAGGAACATCTTCACTTTGTGGAGACAGTTAACTAATCTTTTAAAAAAAATGCAGCTTTTCGTTAAAAAAGACCTAGTTTCTGTGGTAAATGTCTTGGCTAATTGGTTAAGGGTAGCATAGTATTATTTAGCGACAGGAATAAAAAAGGGAAATTGCTAGAACCCAAAGAAAAGAAGCCATCTTCAGGTTTTGGGAACAATTGACTGATGTGCATAGGGAAGAATGCTTTATCATTATTATGATGAAAAGAAGATTTCCTAGTACCTGAGGGTTAGGATGAGAATTAGGATTAAGAGCAGCATAGCAGTACTTAGCTACAGGGATAAAGAAGTCAGACCTACAGACCCTTTAAAGACCTGGAATACAAACTTGTGTGTGTGGCCATGTATTTAACTCTTTGTGGGGATCAGAGGTCCCCAAGGAATGAACAGAAGGACCATCTTCACTTTGTGCGGACATCTGACTAGCCTCCACAAGGAAAATGGTATTTATATTATATATAAAATGCAGCTATTGTTTGAAAAAGACCAGAATGATTTCTCAGTTCCTGAGGTAAATCTTAGGGTAAAGCATAGCATATTGTTATTTAGCTACAGGAATATTGAAATTCCCACAAAGATGTGTGTGTGATGAGTTTTATCTCTTTGTGGGAACCAAATATCCCCAGTATGATGGAAAGCAGGAAAAGTTTCACGTTGTGGGGATATTTGATCGATTCCCAAAGAGAAGAATGCATTGAAAAGACCAAAAAGATTTTATATGTTACCTAAAGAGTTAAGGTTATAAAGTAATTATAAATAGTGAAAGGAGTAAAGAAGTCAAGAATCAGCAAAGACTAGAACACAAATTTGGGTGTTTGGTCATATGGCTCTTTGTGGAGAGCAAATAGGTGATGGAAACATTAGTGAGTGGTGACAGATTTGGTTGGTTCCTGTAAGGATTTATTTATTTAAAGCTTTTATTAAAAACAAATAATAAATGAAAGAAAAAGAGCAGAATGGTTAAAGTTAGAATGGGTTAGGCATAGGCATAGCTTTACCTACAGTAATACTGAAGTCAGTGGAACCCCATCAGGACAGGAATACAAACTTGTGTGCGTGTATCTCTTTGACCAATATATCCTCGCACTAATTTCAGAAATATGAGTTGTGAAAGTGACTCATGGCTTTATCTGGATTCTTTCTTCCATATGGTGGCAAAAAGGCATCCTCTGCTCACCTGCCCAGACACTGTTAAACAGAGATAGAAAGCGAGCTGCCTCCAGATGGTCAAGGCGGGCTGGAAGAAAGGGCATCGGTATGTTTAATTCACATGACTGGCTATCATAGCTCTGATGTAGAGTAAGTTCTAAAGCATTTCTGGGCATCTGAAGATTAGATGCGCTTTTCTTTTGATTTTGTTCCCTGCACAATCTCTTCCAATTATGTTTACTAATGCAGCGGTAATGACGCCTCTTTAATAGGTGTGAGAAGGAGGCATAATGGAAGTACGATGCAATTACAGACTATAACTAGGGAGTTATTGTTGAGTGTTTCCCCATTGCTCTACGCCAAACAAAGATCTAACTGCCTTTTTCCCTATGGTCTAGGTAAAGCGTGATTAGCTGAGAACGCCTTGTTAGTGAACCCCCATGGCTGCCTCTTTGAAATGCCGTGCAGCATTTTTGCTCGATTCTTACACACAACAGGAGCTGGATTTCAGTTACCGCAGCGCGCACTTTTTAAGAGAGCTTTTGCACAGAGACAAAGAGGAGGTGGGTTTATTTTTGGCCATGTGAGGTTGAGTTCCACTCCTCGCACTGGAACACAGAGGCAGATGAGAGAGCAACTTGTTTTTTTGGAGCGAGCTGAGCATGTGCTGTGCCTCGCTAGGTGATTCTCTCTTGCCGCACCAGCAAAGCTTAGCGTCGGAGCTGACTGCTAACTGCGGCACTGATGCTCCACATGCTTTGCTCGCAAATGGCTTGGTGGTTAAGTCAAAGTCTGACAAGTTACTGATCTCTCTGACAATGAGCGCTTATGTCACACAGTCTGTTGATCTGTGTCTGTCTCGCAGAGAGAGAGCGAGAGAGAGAGAGAGAGAGACGCAGGGGGTGTTCATCAGAGACAGTGTCAGGATGCCAGCTGGCAGTCATGCGGTCTGGAGGCAGAGACCTGGTTCCACATCCACTTTCCACTCACTCCACATACTCCAGTCTGCCAGCCAAACTGTATAGCACAATGTATTCCTCTGCCCTTTTGGACCCCACCAAAGGTAACATTTAATAATAATCATACATTTTATTTATATACAGTGCCTTCTCCAAGAGCTCAAAGCGCTCTACACAAATACATAAAATACAAACAATGGAGAAACAAACATGAACACCCATGATAACAATTACAGACACAGACCATTGGATGCTAGCAAAGAGCTGATTCCACAGGAGCAGAGGAAAAAGCTCCCATAGAATGAACTGTACTACTACTAGGACAGAACTATAAATCAAGAGCTAGACGAACACAGGGAGTGAGATGGACAGTAGTGCCATGTAGGGCCTTATAAGCAAGAAGTAGTACTTCCCAAGGATTCCAGTGAGACACAGGTAAGAAGTTCAAATCATTAGGCATAGGTGTTATGTGGTGCTGCACAGAGGTAGATACAAGCAGCCGAGTAGCTGCATTTGCACGTCGCAGCAGTAATCAAAACCATGAAGAGATTTCAAAGAACGCTTGTGTAAGACACATCTAGTGATGCAAATATGGTTGAAAATAGGTTATATTGTTCATATAGAAGAATGCAGGCTGTCTAATATCAGTCAAACAAATTAGAAAGTCTGCATTCTTTCATTTGAGGAATATATGAGGAATAGTTGCCACAGCACTGACCCCAAGGATCTCATATGGCATTCAGGTCACCAAAAAAGGGTTTGTTTTATCAGTATTTAAAGTAGGGATCCTAACCTTACATGGCAAGCATATAGATTAGAACATGGTCTCTTTCTTGTTTTTGAACATAAGGCTAACCTGCAATGTCAGGACCAACAGAGGATAAACGACTTGGTATAGAGCATTTTACAAAAGCTACATTATTGAGGTTAATGCTAGGGTTAGGCTTAAGCTGAGAACAATTGTACTACATATAGTTTGATACATATAATTACTGTCAAGCAAAAACCTCCACCTTTGTCTTTTTCTATTTATTTATTTATTTTGGAGGTGACTGTGATGATGCATATCATATACAGCCTCTCCTGAAAGTATTTGAACAGCAAGACCAGTTCTTTTTTTTTGTTATACACTGAATACGTTTGGGTTTAAGATCAAAAGATAAATCTGCAATGACAGATCAGAATTTCAACTTGAATTTCCTGGTATTGACATCTAGATTACACCTAGATGGTACCTTTGATGGCAGACTACCCAATCTTTACGTGAGCAAAAGTATCACTTTAGTCTTAAAGTAAATTAAAGTAAATAACACTTAATATTTGATTGCATATCCCTTGCTTGCGATAACTGAGGTTAATTTGGTCTCATCAGTCCACGCTGTTCCAGAACTGATGTGGCTCATCTCTGTATTTCTTTGTGAATTCCAAATACAAGTCTTACTGCTGATGAGTGGTTGTGGTCTTTGAATGGTGGATTGTGATACCCCTGCC